GTGGGCATCGAGGAGAGTTGAAATCAAGTCAGCTTTATGGTAATGAGCTATGACGCGGTTCGGCAAGCAATCAGAATGAAGACGTCCACCGCTTGATAGGAGTTCAGAGAACACAGACCTGTGAACTTTGGTTCCGACCACAGTTGTTCCCAAGGGTTTGATGAATGCGGTTGCTGGATTTCCAATTATTTACAATGTTTTCTTACATGAACATGCATTAAATAAGTTACTGGCGAGTTACTGATGTGCATTAATGTTATATATATATTTATCTTAAAAAAGCGTGAATCTCACGTGACATGACATGACAGTACAAAACAGTACAGCTGCTTCAGGATATTTCAGACATATGGACACATATTGAATAAATAGAGCAAAGCCCTTGGACCTTGGATGCTCTCGCCGATTTCGGTGTGAACGTACGGTTAGCTGGTCAGGTTGGTAGATGAACAGCAAAGACCAGCTTGACCAGCTAAGACCAGGCTGGAAATGGAAATGGCTGGAAACTAGCCTGGAAATGGCCAAAACCCCTCTAAAACCAGGCTGGTCAACCAGCTAAAACCAGCCAACAAGCCTTGGCTGGTTTAAGCTGGATTTTTCAGCTGGGTTACTTAATAGTTTCCTTTAACCTTGAAGGCTTTGAGTAGTTGGTGTGTTTCCTGTGTGTTCAATTATAGGGCAAAACTGTGCAGTGCTGTGGCCCTACAGGAATCCAGTTTGAGATCTAATGGCTTAAGGAATCTTATGTACTTTTCTTTTCAAACTGCAAAACCAGTGTTTATGTGTTCAACCACAGTGTTTGGACAGCAACAATGAATGTCCTTCAACATAACCTGTCATCTGATGAACACACTTATAATTAGACACATGATTAAAATACAGTACCGTTTGGAATGGATACAGTTTGTTTTAATTCGGTGGGAACCAAATTTAAATACATAATTTGGTATATTTAAACACGTTTGTCACGCATAAAATTACAATAAAGGAAAAATTTCAAAACACCTACAGTTGATGTCAGAATTATTAGCCCCCCTGTTTATTTTTTCCCCAATTTCTGTTTAACAGAGCAGATTTTTTCAACACATTTCTAAACATAATGTTTTAATAATTCATTTTTAATAAATTATTTATTTTATCTTTGCCATGATGACAGTAAATAATATGAGTAGATATTTTTCAAGACACTTCTATGCAGCTTAAAGTGTCATTTAAAGGTTTAACTAGGCAGTTTAGGGTAATTAGGCAAGTTATTGTATAACAATGGTTTGTTCTGTACACTGTCGGAAAAAAATAGCTTCAAGGGGCTAATAATTTTGTCCTTAAAATGGTGTTTAAAAAATTAAAAACTGCTTTTATTCTAGCCGAAATAAAACAAATAAGACTTTCTCAAGAAGAAAAAATTTTATCAGACATCCTGTGAAAATTTCCTTTCTCTGTAAAACATCATTTGAGAAATATTTAAAAAAGAAAGAGGGGCTAATAATTCTGACTTCAACAAGTTCCCAAGTCTATTTTCCTAATGATTATCTAATTGGTGATACTGGATCAGGGCGAGGCAGTGGCGCAGTAGGTAGTGCTGTCGCCTCACAGCAAGAAGGTCGCTGGGTTGAACCTCGGCTCAGTTGGCGTTTCTGTGTGGAGTTTGCATGTTCTCCCTGCCTTCGCGTGGGTTTCCTCCAAGTGCTCCAGTTTCCCCCACAGTCCAAAGATATGCAGTACAGGTTTTGGGTAGGAATTGGGTAGGCTAAATTGTCCGTAGTGTGTGTGTGAGTGTGTGTGTGTGTGTTTCCCAGAGATGGGATGCGGCTGGAAGGGCATCCACTGCGTAAAAACTTGCTAGATAAGTTGGCGGTTCATTCCGCTGTGGCGACCCCAGATTAATAAAGGGACTAAGCCGACAAGAAAATGAATGAATGAATGATACTAGATCAATACAGTCTGTTATCCTCAAATTCATGCAGGTGTCCAGACAGAGTAACTGCAGGTGCTCCTCACAATAACCACAGAAATATATTGTTTTATAATCGACCAGATTCTATAAGGAGACAGGACATGGACGTCTGCAAAATGAATACTTGCTGGACCTTTCCATGAAAACGGACCTTTTAATCTCGAAGTCACGCAGGTGTAAAAGAGGTTAAAAAAAGTGTCATCGATGACAACAGTTGAAAGGGCTTGTAGAGAAAGCTTAACGTAGGTATCCTGGGAAATCAAGAGTTCAGCTCAGTTTATGTGCGCTCAGGACAGCGTTCTCTGAAGGATTGAGCTCTCCTCTGAATTAATCACGCTTCAAGTGAATTCAGTCCTTCTCAGAGGACAGCAGCCCGCATTCTCTTATTTGACCAGAGGGAGAAAGCAACTCTCTTGCATTTTAATCATAGCCTTACAAAGTGCTTTCCAACCTGGGGATAAAAAATGCTTTCAGACATTCAAAGCACTCTGTTCCACATGTTCGGAGAAAGAGCTTTGCCTCGGAAAGGCGCAACAATTTAAGCGTATCGCCGTCTGCTACACCCACATCCACTGCGAGACGGAGGGGGGCTGGCGATGAAAACGTAATGAGGATATATGATTAAAAGCGAGAATTATTGCAGATCCAAGGACTTTTTCTTTCAAGCCGACAGCCCTGGCAGCACTTTTGGATTTGCTTCTGTGAATATCGTGTTAAAGGCTACCTACAAAGGCCTTCATTGGAACTTCTTTGTGTCAGTATTTCCAGAGCCCACACAGTGTTTTCAGTCTCACTACATTGTAAAGGAATAAATCACCCAATGAACTGAACATTTTTGGACCACTATACTTTCTTTGCTGGAACACAAAATGTGAAATGCTAAAGGATATTCGGTAACACTTTATAGTAACTACACACTTTGAACCATTTATTAGGCATTAGCATCAAGTAAATTCATTATTTGTAAAGCATTAAGTCTACATTAATAAATGTTAGTAAGCAGTTTATAACTGTAGCTACAAATGCTGTATTCTTGACTTACAACCACATTTATAATGTGCTTAATAATTGTACTTTTATCCTTTGTTAATAATTGATTTTCATTACTAATTTAAGTATTGCATTATTTACAAACCATTTGTATGGTTTAGCAATGATTAATATGGTTAGCAAATGATTAGCAAATATCATTAGCAAATATCATTAATGATTAATATGGTTAGCAAATGATTAATAAGCTTTTGAAATCAAGGTTCATACATCTTATTATTGCTTTCACTCCCAAATGGCGGAATCCAGGGCTGTTGCTGGGCACGGCTGTTGCAATGGAACGTTCTATTGGGGTCCGTTCTTCGTACGTGGATTACTCAGTTAGCTGGATTTGGATATTGACGATTTGACACGATCCAGGATTGTTTCGTTCTTCAAAGCTGATCCGAGAGTTGTTGTCATGGCAACAGTTCTGCTAGGTCAAACCTGATCGGGAGCAGGTTTAATTCATATAAACAGGATTAGATCGGCTTAGTTCAAGCAAAGATAATACAGAAAGTATTTACCGAATTCTGATATTTTCTTACAGTAGTAGTTATTTACACTTGGGAAAATAATACATAATTTTTAAATATATATATAAAGTTATAGTCATTAATAAAATAAATAAAGTTATACATATTAATAAAACTTATGAAATCTGCACCCTCGAAATGAAAGTACAAAGACTGCCATCTGGTGCAAAGAGAAAACTTATTGAAATGAACTTTTTAGATCGCTTTAGAACAAATTGTGTATAATAGAAATGCACAATATGTGATTTTTTTTAAGCAATAATACATTCATGCAGTCATAAACATGTTTTGATAGTTAATATGCCAGTGATTTGATGCTTCACAAAAGTTGCAGACACCTTTACCAATATCAAAATGCTTTTGTAAACAACCAGTTATTCTTTATACACCGATTAAAAAACGGCTACATTAATAAAAAAAATCTTTTCTAAATGTAGAACTAAATGCATTGATTTGCATTGAAATACATGATGAATACTCTTGTCTTGACAAATGAAAGTGTAAAGCCTGCAGCTCACAACAAATGTGGAAAGTTCTTGCGTGTCATATTTAACAAACCATTTACTGCTAATTTGATGTAATTTTGCTCACATGGATAATTGAATATTAATCAGATGATGTCATTACGCTGCTGTGCCGTCAGCCAATCGTTGCATTGCTGATCATGATTTCGAGGATCAATAGATCTGTCCTTCACAACACACACAGCGATCTCAGATCAGTTTATCCAGACATTCTAATCTGATTCGCGAAATTGTTTGAAGAACCAAATTAGCGAGAGATCAGTTATCAAGATTAAAAGATCCAGGATCTGCCAAATCATCTTAGATCATTTAAGCGAGGTACGAAGAACGGACCCTTGAGTGTCGTCTCTTGGTCATTCTAAGCTATTTGCTTTGGGTGAACCATCCTTTACCTGCAAGCCAATTGAGATTTTAAACAGCAACACGCTTGGTTCATTTTAAGAGATGAACATTTAATTGCACCTTCAATTCTCTTAACAGGCACGTTTTATTCCCACCTACACAAGCTTAAGGTGAAAGAACTAACCCAATCCTATTCAAGTGTAGCGGAGAGTGGGCTGCACCACTGCTCTGCTTGGATGGGTTCATGGCTAGTGTTTTGTTGTAGATGTCTCTACAATAGCAGGCGAATACATCTGTGATATAGGCAAGCTGATTGTGATGGCCTCGGGATAATTAGATGAACTTCAATGCTCTTTTGGATGGTAAAACCCACTCATTCTCCACAAGAGAGGTCAAATCGAGGACACAGACACTTCATGATGCCCACACAATCCTGGCGTGACGGTAAGCTGTTCCTTCATCCTGCTGGAGGGGATACTGTGCGCCACATTTGACACAGTTTGTCCCATCAGGAATTCAAGATTGGCTGCCTCTCTCATGAGCCCAAATATCAAACAGTGAAGTTGTAACAGAACCGAAACCTAGGCATAGATTGCTTATTTTTTTATTACTTACTTGTGACAGCAGTTTGTTGTTATTGTCCTCTAGAATCCGGACCTTGGTTTCCAGCTGCCGAATGTAGTTGGAGGATGCATCTGCAAGACAAACGTCCAAATAATATTCAATTCCAAGCTAATTCACAATAATTGAGATTCTAAACAAATAATTACCGTTCTAAACATTTCAGTCCTGCATCCTCTCCTTGTAAGTTCAGACTTTGCAAGTTTGATATAGAAAACAAACTCCCGTGGACATGTCGGGTAAATCTTCAAAGGGAACAGCGTACTCTATAAGCGCATTCGCATCACCCTGGCTACATTGTTTCACTTTCTTAACAATAAAATGAAAACAATTATCAGTTTTAATTATCAATAATGGCCATTATAAAAGTATAACGTACATTAAGTGTATACATTATAGGAAATAAAGGCAAGCAATCAGTCAATATACAGAATGCTTGTGGTTACTTTAATTATTAACTGTTCTTTGCGCTAAGCCAAAACCATAGATATATACACTAGATATCGCATAGGGACCCTGAGCATGCGTCAATAGCACCGCCACATTGGTACAGTGCTCCCAGGACAAATGTCATTCAACCGCACTAGTCAAGACAGTGTTACTACGTGATGATGTGGGACTTTAGCGCTGTCTACGGGTGTAGTAACGAGCAAACAAAGAAAACAAAGCACAAAGGCAGAACATTTCATAGGTAATCTTAAGTTTTTTTCTGTTTTTGTATGTTCTGAACTTTTGTGCTAATCAGGTAACGTTATTGATGATAACAGTCACTTACTGCATTCACCATAAGGCAAAGCAGCTCCAACTCGCACTAAACACTCGGCTTATGCTAGTTTTGTTGAATAAAATCAACAAACAATGCAAAAGAAATATGACAACGAGATGCTGCGCTGCCAGAAACTTGTATTATGTCGGCTAACGTTAGTGAAAGAGAAGTTCGGGGGATTCAATCACAAACGAATCGCTCCCTCCTTCAGTATGAGAAGTGAAAGCAGGAGAGGAGCTGTGTTTCAGGACATGGATTAGATTAAATTTAACAGGGAGGGTGGATATTACATTACTGTACACACAAACACAAGCTTTTTGTCAGGAATGCCCGTGCGGTCACTGAGACATCAATGTAGAAAAGTGATGTAAAATTTTAATTTTCGTAATTAGAAAAAAAAATTACATACTAACATCCAGAAAAACTCCAGATCATATATGTGTATACTGTATGTGTATATCTCTGGCTTTGGATGGCCACAGTCCTCCACTGTACCTTGGTCCCGCATTCATTTCAAAGGAGTGCTACCCTGTAGCAAGATGGCGGCACTATTGACGCATTCCGTCCAATAGACAACAACAGGCCAGGCGACCTCTAATGTATATATCTATGGCCAAAACACGTTACCTGAGAACAAGTAATAGATTCAAAAGACCAAAGTCGGGGAATATGTTGTTAGATATTAACAACAAGATGAATTAAATTTAGTGAGATTAGATCCAGCGGTAGATCCTTGATGAGCAGTCCGACAAGCACAGTTCTCATTTGGGTAGCTATGCTGCAGCGCATGCCAGAGAGTGTGTGTGTGTGTGTGTGTGGTCACGTGATGTGCATTTTCAGTGGTGTGGTGTAGAGTTGTTCAGAAATGATGGGTAAAACGCTAGTGTGGACGCGGATCGTTTTCATTCTAAAACGCCATTTTAAAACTAAAACGTACTAGTGTAAATGGGCCTAAAAGTTTCCTAATGAAGAAAAAAAAAAACAAAATAATGTATATGTGCACTGAAATCCTCAGTAAACCATTTTAAAATCAATCAATACATTTAAGTTTTTGTAAAAATCTCGGATATGACATATATACATACACACATTTAAAAGATTACCTTTGCTTTTTGGTCAAACTAATTATTTAGAATGAGCTAAAACAACACAGTTCTTCAGTTTTTTGGAGGATAACTTTGCTTTATGTTCAATCCACTTAAATTAGTAAAAGTTAACAAGCTAACCTAATTCATTCATGCTGTCCCAACGCAGTTCGATTGTGTCAAACCTAACATTTTTTACAGTGCAATACTGATAATTTCACTATTGTGGATAATCATAAACTTTCTTAGCAATTTCATATATACTTTCATAATCATATTTTCTTTTTTAAATATTTCCCAAATGATGTTTAACAGATTCAGGAAATTTTCACAGTATGTCTGATAATATTTTTTCTTCTGAAGAAAGTCTTATTTCGGCTAGAATAAAAGCAGTTTTTTTTTTTTTTACTTTTTATTTAAGATTTTTCAATATGTTTTTTTTACAGAACAACCCCTTACCCAACAGTTTACCCCTTATACGCAAGGGGATACATAAAATAATACAAAAATAATAATTATGGGATTATATTAATAACAAAAATAAAGAAAGAAAAATAAAGAAGGAAAATCAATAAAAAAATTATAATTTTAAATAAATAAATAAAAGGTATTGCCATCATAATTACTTTGCAGGGGATACATTAGTACATCAAGTTACTTAAGGTTGCATTGTAGTTACATCAAATTACAGTGATAATATGTCAAGAAACCTCTAAATATACATATATAAATGTGTCATAATACTTTTCCACCTCTTCAGAAAAATATCAGTCTTCATTTGTAGGCATGCCATCATTTTTTTCCATTATATAGACCTGTTTAAGTCTCTAAATCCACTGAGCCACCTTTGGAGAACTTTCTTCCATCCAATGTACTGTTATCATTTTTTTTTTTGCAACCAGTAATAAAATCATTAAACATTTCTTTAGGCAGTGCTCCCAGTAAGCACATAACTGGATCGAGGGGTATTTCTATATCTAATATCTATTTCATTTTTCCAAAATTCTTGAATCTTAGGACAGTCCCAAAAAATGTGGGTATGATCTCCAATTTGACCACATTTTCTCCAACACAAAGCAACAGAAGGTCCTTTTACATATGTAGATATTAAAATAAGAGTTTTAAAGTACCTAATTTTTACTTTCCAATCAAATTCTTTCCATAATTGATTATTAATTCCTTTATGACATCCTTCACATAACTCAGTTGTTTTTAATTTTTTAAGCAGCATCAAGTTAAAATTATTAGCCTCTTTAAGCGATGTATTTTTCTCGAAAGTCTAAATAACAAACCTGCGTTATACAATAACTTGCCTAATTACCCTAACCTGCCTAGTTAACCCAATTAGCCTAGTTAAGCCTTTAAATGTCAATTTAAGCTGTATAGAAGTGTCTTGAAAATATCTAGTAAAATCTTACACTGCCATCACGGCAAAGATAAAGTAAATCAGTTATTAGAAATGAGTTATTAAAACTATTATGTTTAGAAATGTGTTGAAGAAATCTTCTTTTCGTTAAACAGAAATTTGGGGAAAAAACACAGGAATAATAATTCTGCCTTCAAATGTATATTCACCCTGAAATAAACATGACATGATAGTGTTGGCAGGGTGTAGAAGATGGACAGTATAGTTATTAGCCTAATAGCTAAAGCTACAGCTGTGTTCTGAATAAAGCCCTCAGCCGTGGACAGTGAAGCACTGCTGGGCAGCTTCAAATCCCTAGCGACACGCTAATCTAACTTCATCTGGCTGACTGAACTATGGGCACGAGCCAAGCCGATTAAAAATCAACTCTGATCCGCAAAAGCCCTGGACCAGCGACCTAGAGGAGAGATCCTCTCACAACCAAAAATCACTCCAATCCACAACCAGCAATTGGAAATGTGACTCCAATGCCCTAAAGCTGTTTTGGAAATTCAATTCCTGCCATTCCAGGGAAGCTGAATGTTTTTTTGTCTGCATAACTTTCCACATGAGATGAATACATAACTGATGTTCATTTGCCAGTCCGTAGCTTTAATTTTATTTTTATATCCAGCTTATTTTCAACATACTGTAAGAAGGTTTCCGGTGTCATTAGATTAGAACTGGTAGTTATTTTACCAGTGTAAAAGCAGACTGTTAAGCTGAACTTGTGAGTAACTCTTTCAATGAAGCCTGTGTGTTTCAATTTATTGCATGTTTGATTTCTCTGTTCTCTGTTGATTTCTCTGTTGTTGTAGCGCTTTGGGTCTTAGAAAAGTGCATTATAAATAAAATGTATTATTAATATTATTATTATTATTAAAGGGCACCTATGATAAAAAATCTACTTTTCAAGCTGTTTGGACAGATCTGTGTGTTGGTATAGTGTATAGACCGTAATACTGGGGTGATATGAACACACCCAGTCCTTTTTTTTAATTTAACTACGAAAAAAGGGTCGGCCAATTGGAGCTGTTTTCAAATCGATCGCACCATTACGTAGGTGTGCGATCCCCCCGCCCACCGAATTGATTGACAGCTGCGCGCATTAACATGTTCCGGTAGTCGCGTGTATATGTCAACAAGACCAGGCAGACATACGCAAAGCAACCGGGAATAAAAGGTCTGTTCTGTTCGCTAGGATCAGCAATCATCATTAAATGTGATTAAGAGTAAGTTTCACATGTTTAAAGTGTTTTAAAACAGAGTATGTGTGTAATTAATTACAGCGATTTACTTCAGCTTTACTTCATCAGCACAGCCGCGTGTCAGAACAATTATAAAAGAAGACGCTTCAATCCCGGTTTGTGGAAGTTAAATCAGGTTTATTTTGTACATTAGCATAACAGATATCCACACTTGAGGTTAGCCTTAACTAGGCTGAAGCCTGATTTATACTTCTGCGTCAGGTGACCGGCGTAACCCACGGCGCAGGCAACGCGCGTGGCTGTGCATTTATACTTCTGCGCGCTGTCTCTGCCGGTCTGCATTAACACTTCCGAAACGCTAGTTGGCAGTGAGGTGTAAATGTTCCTCTGTGTCGAGTTTCTTCGCTTCTTTTTTGCATTTCCTGAACACTTCCGGGATGTACAAGTGGCTCAAACTCGCTCATTTTGAGGCAGGAACCGGCGGACGTGCAACAACTTTAACTATGAGGTAAACACAAAACAAAACTTTCCATCCGGAGCTCCTTCACGGGACTCCACACTTGTAAACAATCGCTCGCACGGCGTCGCGCCATTCGCGCGCCTCTCGGTC